CAAAGCAGGCCACACCTACAGAAGAAGTTCTAAAAAAATTTGAAACCCACCACTGCTCCCCGCCCTTCAATGAGCAGAAGCAAATGGAATTCTAAGAGTGGTCTGAAGTGCTGGCCAAGCAATGGGGGCAGTGTATACTCTTAAACCAATTCATGCGTCTACACTTGTAAGAGAAAAAGCAAATGCACATCTGCTTCTCTTGTTGATATTTTGCTCAGCAGATTTTCTTAGAAACACACCCTGCATTTCTCTGACTGCATTCATGTTTCAATGGGTTTGCTTTGTAGGAATTCATACAAATAGGAAAACTGATCTGCATAGAAGGCATTTGAAAGGATAGGCAAATGATGTGTCATCAGGCGATAGAAGAAGTCAGTCCCCCCCAAACTGCAAATGGCTAGAAACAGCTGTTTTTCGTCATATGAAACGGTTAAGAGAAGCTACTAATATTACTTTACTTTGGATACACAGGCCTGTGATGCGTGGAAAAAAGAAGCGGAGGAAGCTAGTGATCGTGCAAGTACAGCAACCGTAGAATGTGAGTTAGCCCGGGAGCAGAGAGAGACCTTGGAACTGCAAGTCAAGAAACTCCAGGAAGAAATTGAGCGGATCCATACTGGCCAGGACCCCCAGTTCCTGCGCTCATTCTCTGATTTAGAGAATCTCTCCTTGTCCACACTCTATAATCTCCAAAAACAGTTGCGTGCCAATTTAGAAAGAGTTGATAAGGTGAGTTTGAAGTGGAGGTTTGGAAACTTTAGGTCGCATTTAACTCATGATGGGATTTTTAATAAGTTAAATAAACAATGAAGTTTAAATGTTGGGCCCTATTTTTCTGAAAGGAATAGCAGAAGATTTTCCCATCAGGATGCAGCTCTTCTCAGCAGAAGAAGGAATTGGGGGAGGGAAAGGTTCTTCAGGCATGATGAAGTACAAGGAAGCTGCTGTTCAGATCAAAGGGAGGATGGGCTTTTACCTTGAAAACAGGGTTAAGTATAGATAGTCTTCAACTTACAATCAGTTATTTAACTACTGTTCAAAGGACCTCCTGTAAACTACTTATAACACATTTTTGGAGCTACAACGTGAACATATTTCGGGCACTTGGCAACTGGCTCACCTTGATGCCATTTCCCTCATTCCACTGTCACATCACCATGATTTGCATCATTTTTGGTTGGTTTCCAACTTCTTGGTGCCAGCAAAAAATGTCTGTTGGGGAAAATGGATTCATTTAACAATCATGTTCATTTAATAATGACTGTGTTTGCTTAACAACCACAGTGTTCACTTAACAACCTTTATAAAAAGAACAATCCCCTGGTGCCTCGACTTACAACTGCAACAACCTAAGTCTAATTCCAGGTTCAATTCTGGTCGTATGTCAAGGACTACCTGCAATGATTAAAGTCTCAATGCATTATTTGGTTTCCCTGCCCTTATTTTAAGACACTAAAGGCAAGGAAAAGGGAAATTGGTCAATAGTTTTTAAAAAGTATTGTTACAAAAAATGTCTCCAGTTCTTCTATTATATTTTAGTATAGCGTCTAGTTAGTGCAAATACTGTAGGAAAAACATGGGAGAAATTATGGACCTCTTTCACCCCAAACTGTAACTAGTCTACAGTATACATTTTCTTTCCCCTCAGCCTTTAGCTTACTTTGTTTAGAGTTGAGGAAGATGAGGATAAATTCAGTCATCTGTTGAATAAAAACAGTCTGGCCAGTCTGCTTTTATTCTTGGCAGTAGTTCGTAACCTATTCTACATCATGAAGTAGTAACTCAGTCTCCCAAGCTACTGGTAGCTTTCCAGTGGTGACTTTTAACCTTACAGGGAGGAAGGGTGTTTCTACTCCCATTTTCACTTAGGCAGCACAAAGCTCCCCAAATCAAGCAAAAATTTCATCATCCAAACCTAGCAATTGTTACCATATTTTATGGGTTGTGAGGGAGTGCCAAAGTCGGATGCTGGCAATGGATTGCCCACCTCTCTTATTCTTTATGGTTGCAGATCAGGCCATTTTTCATCTAATAGTTTCCTGGATCGAGGGGTTAGTATATCAAGGGAGTCCATTTATTTGACAGCTCTGCTGAGCTGCAAAATAAGTTCCAGAAAGAGGATATAGAAGGAGGAGGAGGAGGAGGCTACCTACCCAATTAGAGGAACACAATGTTCTGACCTAGGCTTCCTGATAAAGCATAAATCACACGCTTAGTCCCCAAAACCCTCTTTTTATTTAAATGGCTGGGAATTATGTTCATTCACAACCCATAATGAGTCACAAACAGTTTGTGACGAGTCTGACAGAAGTCTGCCACAGTCTTTCAGGGTAAGGCTGATAAGTACCTACCTTTATCTCCCTTGAAACGCAGCCAGAGACCTGATTGCCAATTAGTTTTGCAAGGCCCAACGGAGCACAGAGTCAAGCTGAGTTTCTCAGAGTTTGAACCGAACAGAATGAACAAAATTGCTTCCTGCAAAGGCTCACGTCCGTTTGCTTCTCTTTTATGTCTTATGGGAGGGGCCAAGCCTTACTCCCGAGTCGCCCTTTTTGTCTTAATTGTTCTTGCCTTCTGGAAGCTCTGCTCATGTGCACAATGGGAACAGGCTCACATTGTTGTTCTGCCTCGCTGATGTCAGGCTCCAGAGGCAGCACATAACTCCCAGATGGCCCCTGGCCCCCTCTCTGCCTCCGACACAGAGCCCTCGTCCGAGCATTCCCCAGACTCCAGGACTGGCCCATGTTCCTCCCCAACCTCCTCACTGTCTGCTGCCAGCTCCGCAAGCTGCTGGCGGACCACAACACACAAGACTGGATTGCTACATAGAAAACTGTGCAAATGAAATATCCTTCTGAGTCCCCCTTCCCCAGCCCCTTGGACTCTCTCTGGCTCCTTCAGTAGTTGCTATTTGAATGTAGAAGAGTTGTCGTTGAGGGCCATTCAGTTTTACTAACAACCCCCCTTTGCTTCTCCTTTCTCCCATCCCACTTCTTCTCTTTTCAGGCAGTGTTTCAGATGCAGTCGGTGAAATGCCTCAAGTGCCAGGAAGAGAACCGGGTGGTACTACTGTGCCAACACACTGTGCTGTGTGAAACATGTGCCGAGGAGGGTGAATGTCCCATCTGCCATCCCAACAGGCCACATGCTCTCCAGTCGTGACTGTACTAGGACATTTG